GACTCCAAGGTTCCTCACAGTGTTACTGGAGGCCAAGGTAATGCCATCCAGAGTAAGAATCTGGTTAGATACCATATTTCTAAGCTTTTCAGCGCCGAGTACAATGACCTCAGTTTTATCTGAGTTAAGAAGCAGAAAGTTAGAACATAAGAAGATCCTTTATGAGCTCCACTAAAGTTGTTTCTGTACTGGGATGAGCACCGTTCCTCTGCAGATCATCAATGAGCTCTTTCAAGAGTTTTTGATGGGTTGGAAAAATGTCTAATGTGATAAATATGGAGGATTAAATACTGTTTGACTGTATCAGTGATAGGATGAGGAAACTGGCTCGCTGTGATATTCTGAATAAGCTGAAACAGCAGAAACAGGCCTGACTGCAGCACTGATCTTAGAAACAGCCATAAATATGTTTCTGACTTTATTTACTTTATTTATTGTTTAGAGCAATAAATTTAATGTAATTCCTGAAATAAAAAACTGTTAGCGTAACCAGGTTCATTTTAAAGCGCTAAGGTGAGGCCCCGCCCTCCTCGCGGCCCCGCCCCCTCCGCTCCAGGTGCCGCTCATTAAAGGCTGTGAGAGCGGACCGACGCGTTCTGTGAGTCCGAAGATGTCCGCGAGCAGAGTGGAACCGGCAGAGCAGAGCCCGCCGCTGTCCTCCAGGTACGAGTGTGTCCTCACCTGCAGCTGAGCTCAGCCAATCACAGCTGGGATTCTCAGCTGCACCTGTTCGTGTTCCGTTTGTTTGGCGTCTTTGTGAAGTTGAGCGGCCGAAGCAGCCGAACCGCGGACATGTTCTCGGGCGGCTTCGTCTCGTGTGGTTTCCGGCTGTTTGTTCTCTTTAAACACGCGCTGGGTCTGCGCTTCGTGACGTCAGCTCTCGGTATGAGTTTGCGGACTCACCTGTGTGCTCTGTACCTGCAGCGGGGACCCGAGGCTTCCTCTGCAGCGGGGACCCGAGGCTTCCTCTGCCCCGGGTCTTGCTGCCGGTGTTGTGCCAGAAACTGATTTCCAATGTTTTTGGTGTTTATGTGTAACATCTCTACGTGTGTCGGTGAGCACGGTCCTGGCGGCCAGGTTACTCTTAAAAAAAAAAAGATTTTTTTTTTTAACTGGACGGATAAAGGTGAACACAAGTCACTGATTGGTGCTTCCACCCTGTTACAGGAATGCAGTTTGTGGCTCAACATGACTGGATATCATTCATGAGGAAACGTCACATCTGTCTCACATATGATAGACCAACAACTTATTTATGTCAGTTTGAATACGAGCAGTGAGTGTTTGGCGCACGCCGCCTCAGACTGTGGAACCTCTGCACTGACTTTAAACACACGTATCTTTAACACTTAAACTCTGAAAGCAGCAGCTGGAAGCTGCGAGTCAGTGACGAAGGACCTGAGCTGTGACCTCGTGTCCACACATGAGTGCGACTCGTGACGAGGCCGAGCTCACAGGTGAGCAGGGACGCACTCGGGACGTGTGGTCCAGCTTTGTGTAGTTTAATATGAGCTGTTCCATCAGTGACTGAAAACATCTGTAACATCTGCGTGCTGAGACGGGGGTGCTGACGTGTCAGGATGAGGCTGACAGACGTGTGACCGCTCGCGTAGCAACAGAAACAGGAAATGATGTAGAGTTTCTTCATGGCGCTCGTCCACAAACAGAAACCTGGGCTGAAAGCAGTGAGGAGGGGGTGGAGGGAGGGGTCTCGTTGGCCTGGATGAGTCCAGGTGTGAATCCTGAGATTTTAACCCCCCATCATTGTGTAACACCACGACTCTGACGAGGGGGGTCAGCGACCCTCTGAGGGCTCTGAATCGCTCGGTGACCTGAGGTGAGCTCGTGTCACCTGGACTCTAAACCGGGTGTGTCTGCTTGCAGCTTCCTCTTCAGCCCGTGGTCGTGTGTCTGCGCCAAGGGCTGGTCGGCGGCCATGTGGAACAGCCTTTCTGACCCGGTGCTGACCACCACCGCCTCGGGATGCTCCGCCCCCGAGCCGTGGCTGCTCCCCGGCTGCAGCTCCGTGTACGACAGCCTGGTCAGGTATGAAATTCTCCTGCAGAGGGGCGGGGTCAGTGTAGCGCGGCAGAGACGGCGCCCTCTGCAGGCCGTGGGTTCTCCTGACGCCTTTCTCTTCTTTGCAGTAACGTCTCTCCGATCCCGTCTCCTCGTGGCGCCGGTGGCATGCGAGGACAAGAGCGAGTCATCAGCGGCAAACCACGCAGGTATTTGGCTTCTTTAATCCAGACTAACGAGCCGTGATCAGGGTCAGCTGATCCTGCGTGACTGAGACCTGAAGGTCACCACAGGTGTTCATGCAGGTGTTCTTCCTCAGGTCCTCCATCCTGGAGCGCTGCATCCTCAAAGTGTCCACGAGCAGCGTGGCCGTGGGGACGGACGACGTGGACAGCAGGAGGTGAGTACGAGGGACATTCAGAGGTTCTGGCCTGCTCGGTGCATCACCTGCATCAGGTGGCAGTAGGCCACGCCCCTGCAGCACTGCTCGCTGCTGGAGTCTCTTCTTCGCTGGGTTTCCGTTTTTAATTTGTGGCTCTGTGAAGGCCCCACATCAGCCGCTGTTACCCCCGCCTGCCGGACCCGACCAACACGGAGACCAACGCCGCGGTTCTGAAACGGCGGCAGAAACAGATCCAGTACGGCAAGAACACCAGCGGATACCAGAACTACATCCAGCAAGTCCCCAAGTAAAAACCCGCAGCATGGCGCCGAGAATCGGACGACGGTTCCTCAAACGGCGACGCTGACACGCCTCTCTGGTTTCTCTCCTCCTCAGACACCTGAGGGATCCTAAGCTCCACCCCTCCACTCCTAACAAGTACAGGAAGTACAGCCGGCGCTCCTGGGACATGCAAGTGCGTCTGTGGAGGCGAGCGCTGCACCTGTGGGACCCTCCGACCGGCGCCCAGCCGGACGCCGCCGACACGCCGGACCCCGTGGAGCAGCTGTAGGTGGAACCCAGCGCCAGAAAATGATCCTCGTCAGCTGAGGCCTTTCTGTGACATCATCAGTGTTTCCTCTCTTTAGGCAGAGTCAGCTGGAGAAGATGACCTCTGACCTCTTTGAGAATGTTGGAGACGAGCAGAGAGAGAAGGAGACGCCAGCATCTAAAGTCTCCTCTGTGTCTCCTCTGCTGGCCGCCACGCCCTCAGCGCTGCCTGGAGCCTGGACCGTCCCCGTGACGCCGGTAATCAATCACCAATCAAATTCTTCGGCTCATTAAAGATGCGTTAACGTTATTTAACGTCCTCTGTAAAACACAGCATCAGCTGATCGGTGACTTTATTCATTCCTGTGTTTGTTTCCCGTCAGCCGGAGGCGAGCCGCCGGGCGCTTCGCTCTCCTCCAGGCCTGAACTACTCACTCAGCAGTCAGCTGACCACCGATGACAGCATGACCGACTGGCTCCATCTCCTGATGGAAACGGACCACGGCCAAGGTGAGGTACCTCAGCCAGCAGGGGGCGACTCCTGAGGGCGAGCCTGCTGGCTGGTTTGGGGCGGGGCTTGGTCAGATCCAGAGGTGGGAAGTAACTAAGTATTTGTACTGAAGTAGAATTTGCAGGTGTTTGTTTTACTTGCACGGTTCGTTTAGCTTTGACAACAAACAGGATCCACTTTTACTTTGAGTACTTTTACTTGAATAAAACAGTTGTGTGCTCACTTCCTGTTTGTCGGCTCACCGCCATCTTGTTTCTCCGTGCAGACTCTGATGACCAGCAGGTCCCTGTGTTCTCCGACCAGCTCCTGTGGAACCCGTACTGACCACCCGACGCAGTCCTCGCCCTCGTTTCCTCATCGTGTCTTTTTAAATGTGTCTGAAGATTAACTGAACGACAGCAGGGATCCGATTGGCCGCCACCCCCCTTCCCAGGTGCTGAGGTTTCCCGGCTGCTCGTGAACGCGTCGTCAGGGCGGACAGCTGAACACTCTGATGCACCTGAACGTTGGACCTCATGAAGCACTGCTCACCTGTTCTGCACTCGTTTCTGTATCGACTCACTTTGGTGTCACTTTGTTGTCGTTGCTCCACCTTCACCTTCGTGCTCTGCTGTCTGGCTCAGGCTCCTCCCCCTCGCACCGCCATGTTTTTTCTCAAAAACGACCCCCTGCTGAGTGGAGGGGAGCGGCCATCTTTGTGTTTGAGTTTTCTTTTTACTCTTCCTACTTTTTTTGCTGCTTGACTGTCGAGAGCAAAGCTGAACCATGTGATTTAATAAAGGCGTAAATAAAGTGTTACCGACCCACAGGCCGACTCGTTCTTCTTCTACTCTCCATAAAAGTGTTGGACATGCAGAGGTGTTCACTGAGGGTGTGCACCTGTAAGAACCTGGACTCAAAACACAAGTTTGTCTTCTCTGTCCCATCAGAATATCTGGGTTTGTTTTCACAGAAAATCCTTAAATGTGCAGAAGATGAAGAAGCGGCTCGTTTAAATCTAGTTCTTGCTTCTAAAATGCAGCTTTGAATAATATTAAATTTGTTTTTAATCTATAAATGGTTTTTACTCGGTCTGACTATCCACTCATTTTATCAGGTTTGCGTATGTTTTTAAAAATAATAATAATAAAAATAAGTAAAACCTAAAGATGAACTCCTCCTTATTTCTAAACTAGATTTTAACACTAACAGTTTTATTTTAGTTTGTACAGTGAAAATAAATTTGACAGCGTATTTAAGTCTTTTTGCTTTCTCTTTGTTTATAAAATATTCAGATTTTAAAAATATATTAATAAAGAGAATCAATTTTTAAGTTTCAGCCACGTATTATTTATTAATTTTTAGTCTCTACTCTTTTGTTTTCACAATTTTTACTCATTTTTCGTTATTTTTAATGTCCCGGTGTCTGCACGGTTTTCCGAGGTTCCTCCGGTCGGGCCCGGTCCGCGCACCGTGTCTGCGGGTTTGCCCTTTAACGCGAGCTGCGGCGGTAAACAAGCCTTCGCGGACTCCAGCTCCCGTCATGCCCCGCGCGGCAGCGTTCTCGGAGATTCGCCCCGGGTTCGTGCGGCAGGTTCGGCTGTGCTGAGCGGCGGCACTGCGGACCGGATCAAAGGATCAGACGTAAATAAACGGCAGGTGCCGGTGATGCGCTGAAGCCCCGCCCCTCCTCCGCTGGCACCGTAGCTGTTATTTATGAATGCCCGCCGCTCACGGGCGTGTGCGCGCGCAGTCCTCGTTATTATTATTATGTTTTAATAACGGAGACCGGACACCGATCCAGGCAGATGTGCGGCTCAGTGCCGGAGCCTGCGATGCCCGCTCCGCGCGGTTAGATTCCCGCTTCGGTCCGCTGTGTTCGACGATAATACTGGGTCGATACACCGAACACAGAGCCGTTCGCCGGCCCGCTGCAGCCACAGGAGCCGCCTCACCCCGTCAACCGACAAGGTAAGCACTGCGCCGGGCCGGAGGGAGCGGGACTTGTGTGCGACTCCGTCCCGCAGCATCCCGCCGTGTGTCTCCCCCTCTCGCCGCTCCGGGAGCTCTCGGGCCGGCCACACGCCGTCAGCACCGCTGTTCCGATCGCTGTTGACGGCCTGCGGTGGTTCTGCTGAGCATGGGCCTGTGAGGGGTCCGGTGTGTGCGGACGGCCCTGGCCTGGGTGATGGCCGGAGGCGGGACAGACACCGGGAGCATCAGTGATGTTCGTGGGTTGTTTGTGACACCATTAACGGCGGCTAACGGGTCAGCTAGCAGCTAACCCGTTAGCCGCCGTTAGCTACTACCTGCCGCCCTGTTCGCTGCTAGCAGCCCGGCACGGGCCCCCGGAGCCCGGGAGGCGGTGGAGGAGGCAAAGCCGTCACTCAGCGGCTCCCATCCTCCGAGCAAGATGGCTGAGTTTATTGTGCCGACCTTGAGCGGAATAACGGGATGACTTGTTATTTATAGCAGCGAGCTAACGGCTCAGGTGAACTGCTGGTGATGTAACGGTCCGCCGTCATAACACAAACCGGGGTTTGTGTTTTTTTTCATGGAGTAACCCTCCACAAACACACCGCCCACCGGGCCGACAGGTACACGGGCGGAAAGCATCCCTCATTAAAAGCAATGGGATGCTTAGCCACAAGCTAACAAGCTGTTGGGGGTGCCCGCCGGCCTCGGTCAGCCCGGCTCGGCTCGGCTCTGCTCACTGTCATCCGCATGTACCCCGAGCCGATATTCCCCCAGCAGAGCCGGGCTAACCAGACCCCGGGGTTCCGCCCCGATGACGGGGTGATGGTCCCCTGTTCTTGGCCCCTGACCTGGTTTACAGGAGCCCCAGGGGGTCCACGAGTAACGGAGTAACGGTACTCAGTTACAGCACTGATGCAAGGCTGCAACTGGAGAGTAACGACATGAAGGAGTGAAACTGTTATTGTTATTATTATGAGTGTTAACTGTGTGACATAATAAAGTCTAATTTCATGCGGTGAGCGGTCCAGACTAATCTCTGGGACCTTGTATCCCTTTTGAGGTTATTTTTGTGTAATTTTGTTGTCAGGTTTTTGTTTTTGCTCTTTTTGACATTTCTTTTCCGATTGAATCTCCAGTCCTGGCTCTTGCTCTTGTTATGTGGGTATGCCTCGTGTGTTTGTTCTGCAGTTTTCCTGCGTCGCTTTGGGGGTCTGGGTGGTTTTATGTCGCCTCGACGGCGGTGCAGGTGGTTTGTAGTCTCTGTGAGCTCCTTTTCACACTTTAGTCTTTTTTGTTGTTGTTTTTGTCGGGTCTCAGATGTGTTTCCTCCAGTCGTTCACGGTGGTTTCTTCAGGCTGTTTGGTCGTAGCGTCTTTAGTCTGTGAGTCGTTTCACTCTGTGGATGTTTTCGTGGGTCTCTTCGTGCTTCGTCTCTGTCCACGGGGGTCTTCTTCTTCTTGATGGCGTCTTTTTGTTTTGAGGAGGCTATTTTTCGGTGTCTCTTATAGGGGTGAAAATGAAGTTTATTGATTGTCATTCTGAGGTTATTGTCTCCATCGTCACTAATTGCACTCTGTGTGGTCAAATATTTGTGCATGTTGGAGCAATTTCCCCTCTTTGTTGCGGTCAGGTCAGCAGTGGTCAGCGCCGACACACACACACACACATGAAGAGAGAGAGAGTATGCATGGTATACAAACAGCTACCAGACAGCCATCATAATTCCTCATACAATGAGAACAGGACGAATCAACAACTGACAATTAATATTAAAATCTGTAACATAATGTTTGGAGTTTAGTCTGTTACTCTTCTTGGAGCAACTGTAACTCACATCATTTCCTTAGGGATTAATAAAGTATTCTGACTCTGATTGGTTCAGGATGACCTGCCATTATCCAATCACACGTCTGCTTACCTGCATCTTTGGCTCGTTTCTCCTCCTCCTCTTTTCTATTTTTTCTAAACTGAGCACCTGATGATTTGAACTTTTCTTGTCCATCTTGGTTTTAATTTTGCACTCCAGTATGAACACAAATCCCCCAACTCGAGGATCACCACAACATGATCTAACACACCTACACCTTAGTTCACAGATTCACTCTGTCTAAGGTTTATTTCTGGGATTTCACACAACCCAGGATTCCGATCATGAATCCATGATGGGTTTGGATTTACAACATTATGAAATGTGCTCTATTAGGAAGCAGCAGGTCTTCCTCCCCTTTCGACGGCTTGTGTGAGCACAAAGCAAAGAAAAAACACTTTATTTCCACAGCGAGGGACAATAAAGGATATTTCAGTTTCTATTGTGTTCTACTGCAGAAACACGAGCAGGTAGCTGCGGCCTGGCTGTTTGCTACCTTCAGGTCAGGCTGTGGCTGCTGTGCCGGGTTCTTCGTTAGCTTAGCATTAGCACGGTGTGTGTGCAGATGCAGTCTCCACTTTAAACTAGAAAAGTCAAAGGAACGTTTACACGCCGCAGACCTGTTTTCCTCCTCTGACACGTGACCTGCAATCAGCTGATTGTAGTGCAACCAGAACTGATAAGCAGGATCAATACACGCACAGACGAACAATCCCAAACAGGAATCTGACTGTGGGACTGGTTCCCAGTGCTGTTCGTGGGCGTCTTTCTCTTCTGTTTTTCTCAACATCAGCTGTTTGATGCTTTGTTCCTGATCGAGTTCCTGTTTTTCAGCTTAACTTCACCTGTGTGTGTGTGTGTGTGTGTGTGTGTGTGTGTGTGCGTGTGTGTGTGTGTGTGTGTGCCTTTTCCAGGTGTGTTGCTGCAGCAACGGCTGACAGATGATGCTCTTTTGAGAGTGGGTGGGGCTACGTGGCCCTGAGGCCTTAAGGAGGAGTCTCAGCCCTAAGCTCCTCCCCTCTCTCGTCCCGAGACAGACCAAACGGACGGACACACAGACGGCTGTAACTCTCCCCTCCCTCCTCCTCCTTCCCCCCTCTCTCCCCTGTTCTCCCCTCCACCTGGCCCCTCCTCCCGGCCACCCTCCCCTGTCTCCCCCCTCGTCCCCTGCCACCATGCTGTGGTCACGCTGCTGGTGGAGAGCCTGAGGAAGCAGACTCTGGAAGGCGACCCTGCTCAGCCAGGGGACTTTTACCTGGTGAGTGGCACACCTGTAGCGTCACCTGTGAGGTCACTGTCACACCTGCAGAGCAGAGACAGGAAGTGCACTTTTGGTAGCGACAGTCTGAACGGCGTCACGCCCGTGTGTTCACTGACAGTCAGGATACTTTGATACACGTCAGGGTGTAAACTCTCGTATGATGTGTGACTGTGTGTCACAGACGTGTGAGTTTAGGCCACTAAACATGGCGTAACGTTAGATTTAGAGCAGCTGTTGGTTTTGTTTAGCTGTCAGCTGTCTGACGGTGCGGACATGTCTGTTAAATGTCCCACAGCAAGCGAACACCTACAGCTCTCTGCATGTGTGTCTGTAGCCACACATGTAAAGGTGCTACACAGATCTCTGAGGTCCTTCAACATCTGTCGGACTTCAACATCTGCTCAGGCGATAGAAACGATATAAATTTGGCCAACGATAGAGATTTTGACTATATCGCTCTATCTCGATAGCGCATGTTGATGATGTCATCAAGCTGCGCCTGTTTTGGTCAAAAGCATCTCAGCGCTAAAACCATTATCATCTGCAAATTATGGCGACAGTCACAGCAAAGAGATGAAGCACTTTTGAAATATGGGGAAAGCCAAAAACTGCGCTTCCTCCACTTCTGTAACTTTGATTCATTAATGTTGAATTCTCTGCAGCTGCTCTGTTCCCATGTTGTTGCAGTATATTAATGACTAACCTCGTGTTGTGGATGAATGATCTCAGTTGTTCTCCTGACTGAAGTTTGGCCCGTGTACAGCATCCTGCTATGTGACTGCATTTGTCCCTGATCACCAGAATCCCTCACGTTAACTTTTATCGTTGGCGTTCATCCTCCAGCTTCACTGTGCTAATGTTATGCTAACATAGCTGTGTCGCTAGCAATCACGTAGCACAACATTATATAGCAGCTAGTCCAACTTCAGTAACCCTGCAAACGTCACTGCTGTTTAGTTTCTGTCTTCATTTATGTTGGAAGTGACAGCAGAGCTGTACGTTTGAATTAGTTTCAGAAATCTCTGTCAGAACATGGTATGAAATGTTTAGGTGGAAACTAGCGAGCTAACTTCCTGTTAAATTTAATAACTTCTGTTTTCATGGATGTTAAACTTCATTGTTACACCTGGTAAAGCAGCAACGCTGATGATTTTATTAAAGATGAAAGAATTTAGACCGTTTTTAACTCTCAGTGTTCGTTTGACTTTGGGACCTGAAGCTGACGGAGTTTTGGACCCAGATTACTCCGTGAAGCTCCTCACTACGGCCGCCGTAATGCTCTGACCATCCATCAAAACATTTTTAACAGATTTCTGCCAAAATTGGTTCAAGGTCAGTAAGCACAACCAGAAGTCATACATAAGGCACACTCTCGATTTTTGAGAAAATTAAAGGATTTTAAGTGTGGAAAATACGTTACACAGAAGAAAAGAATATATCGTGATATATATCGTTACCGCACGTGCTTCAAATTATATCGCGATATGAACTTTAGGCCATATCGCCCAGCCCTACTCAGGATGGTCTGTGAGTCTGTTGTGGTCAGTGCTGTCCTCTGTACTGTTGCATGCTGGGACAGCAGGTTGAGGGTCACAGATGCTAACGGACTCAATAAACTGATCACGAGGCCAGTAATGTTGTGGTGATGGAGCTGGACTCCGTTAGGGTGGTGTCGGAGAAGGATGTTGTCCAAGATAAGGAAAATGCAGCACAATACCTCCCACCCACTCCATGACGTCTTGGCCAATCACAGGAGCGCGCTCAGGGAGAGACTGAGATTACCCACAATGCACCACTGAACAACACAGGACATCATTCCTGTGGACATCTCTGTACCATCCCTCTAACACTCAGCGAGGTCGTCTATGGTAAAATAAGGTTTTACAGGTTATCTTGGAGCTGTTTCTTATATGTGTAACATGTGTTATTGTATGAGTCTGTTGCTGTTGTCGTGGAGAGACTGACCACCTCATGTCCTCAGGGAGTAATGAAGTACGAAAACACAATTAGGCTGAACGGCCCAAAGCAGAGAAACATGGCGGCTTCCACAAACCAGCAGCCGCTCACGTGTGATTTTCATTCATTCTGATTTTATTATTTCAGTCTTTCAGCTGACGCAGCTCACGGTGTTTCCTCACAGGAACCTTCCTGCCTGCAGCTCTAAATCAAACCTTAAACCTGAAGATAATCTGACCTGAGCTTCAGTTAAAGCTGTGCTGAAGTTCTGAGCAGTTCTGCAGGTGGACACCAGGTGGTGCTGCAGGTCGCCTCATCTCCACTGAACGAGCTGCAGCCACAAAGGACTGTTGCTGACTTCAGCTTAAATCCAGGATCAAAACTGGGAAGCAGGAATATTTTTATGTTCTCAGAGCTGAAACTCTGATTCTGGTCTTTCAGTCCCTGCTGGACCCGAAAACCCTCGCAGAGTGCTGGCGCCCAGATGGCTTGATGCCTGGTGAGTGTTTCCTGTTT